GGTCTCGTGATAGTCAGATAGTTCAGCTTCCCCACTACTCGTCTATACCTTCCAGGATCTTCAAATACTTCYCCTGTATCACTGCTCAACTTAACATTTGGTTCCATAGGGGTCTCAGCCGGTTTTACACCTAACAGTCTTGTTTCTTTCAGTAGATCAAGAACATATTTTCTTTGGCACAGATTTACACCTTGTTTTGACCTGGCAACTTCTATGCCCAAGAAGTAGTTCAATGTCCCAAAGTCTTTTGTTTCAAAATGATTTTGCAGAAATACCTTTAGTTTGTCACTGCCAGTAATAACAATATCATCCACATAGACCACTAATAAAATCTTTCCAGCTTATGAGTCATAGCTGAACACTGAGTGATCAACCTGGCATTGCTTCATTCCAAAACTCTTCACCACTTCGCTAAACTTCCCGAACCAAGCACACGGCGATTGTTTCAACCCATAAATTGCCTTCTTCAGTCTGCACACCTTACCATCCTCCCCCTGAGCAACAAACCCAGGTGGTAACTCCATATATACCTCCTCCACAAGGTCACCATGAAGGAAGGCATTTTTTATGTCAAGTTGAAACAGAGGCCAATCATACATAACTGCCAGGGAGATTAACACACGAACAGAGCCAATCTTAGCCACCGGAGAGAATGTCTCCATGTAGTCCACTCTATACAACTGTGAGTAACCTTTAGCAACGAGCCTGCCCTTCAGACACTCCACACTACCATCTGGCAAGTATTTAACAGTATACACACATTTACAGCCCACAACATGCTTACCAGGTGGGAGAGTAGTGAGCTCCCACGTTTGAGTATGTTGAAGAGCAGAGAGTTCCTCCTCCATTGTCTGCCGCCACCTAGGTGAACTAAGAGCTTCTTGGACATTATTAGGTATGGAAATAGATGACAAAAGTGAAACAAATTGACGATGTGAGGTGGAAAGGCGAGATAATGAAACAAAATTGGAAATGGGATGGAGAGTAGAACTGTGTGTACCTTTCCGTAAGACAATGGGTAGGTCAAGTTCTGAGGGTTAAGCAACAGGAGCCATGATAGGATCCGCAGATATGGTAGAAGTTGGACGGGGGGCCGGTGTCGTTCGACGTGTATACACTTGCCGGATCGGTGGTCGTTTAGTGGTGATCTGCACTGGATGAGATGATGAGTCTACTCCAACAACAGCATCTGGAACTGGATCACTGACGGGAAGAGGAAGAGGAAGTAAGGGTGGAGACGAAGGTGCTTCAAGTCCTGAGAAGAAGGGGACAGACTCAAAAAATGTGACATCAGGACAGACAGAACTTTCGAGTAACGGGATTATAACACTTGTACCCTTTTTGAGTCCGAGAGTAGCCAAGAAAGACACATTTAATGGAGCGTGCATCTAGCTTGTCTATTCCAGGACTCAGATTGTGAGTGGATGCACATGAGCTTTGATGAAGAATAGACCGAGCAGTTTCAAGGAGCTGACGGTTCTTTCATTCAGCCACCCCATTTTGTTGAGGAGTGGATGCACATGAGGTTTGATGAATAATGCCATGTTGTTCTAAATATTGTTGAAATGAAATAAGAAAGTATTCACGAACATTATCTGAACGAAGAACTTTGATTGGAACACCAAATTGTGTACGTATTTCAGAATAGAATTTTTGAAAAATGGAAAATAATTTTCTTTCATTAAGTAAATCCATGTCATCCTTGAACAATCATCAATAAARGAGACAAAATACTTGTACCCATTATAAGACTCTATTTTGATCGGGCCCCAAACATCTGAATGAACCAAAGAAAAATGACTCAACATACGACTTTCAACTCTAGGACTAAAGGAAACACGACGATGTTTCCCAAACTGACAAGACTCACACTGTAAAACTGACAAATGACTCAAAGACGGAACTAATATCTTGAGTGCGTTGAGAGAAGGATGTCACATTCGGCAATGCCACTGTAGAGGAGCAAGTGAAGTCTGAAAAGCAATTGAGGATCCACCACCATCAAGATAATACAATCCACCAGCTTCATGCCCCCCACCAATCTTCTTCCCCGTCTTGAGAACCTGAAAAACACAAGAGGTTAATTTACTAACAGACATAAGATTGAATGAAAACTTAGGTACATATAGAACAGATGATAAAGAAAGAGAAGCCATGTCAGCATTACCAACACCACAGATGGGAGATGAAGAGCCATTGGCAAGTGTAACAGTTTGTGATGTGAAAATTTCAGAAAGAGAAGAGAACACACCTGGAGTCCTGGTCATGTGATCAGAGGCTCCAGAGTCAATAATCCAGGGCGAGGTTTTAGATGACATGAAAGCAATACCTGAGTGGGCAAGAGTAGCAGTGGTATGTTGTGAAGTGGTTTGAAGGAATCGTTCATACTCATCACGCGGTACACTCATCATTTCCCTCCCAAAAGCAGATGTAGATGTGGAAGGAGTTAGGCCTGCCTGTTTACTGTTACTGATATCAACCTCACCAGCTACAGCATGATTAGCCCATTTAGAGGGAGGGCCATGTAAATCATAACAGAAATCCATTGTGTGTCCTTCCCTGCCACAATGAGTACACTTCCTTGCAGAGTTACTCTTTCCTTTGCCACGACCGCCCCCTGAGTCACGACCACCACCCCGACCAAACATGGAACTGCCACGGCCTCCTCGGGAGGCATGTCCTCCCCCTCTTGTACCATGTCCACTTACTCTAACTGTCACAAGTGCTGATCTATCACACTGTGTGGGATTCTCTATCTGTCCCAAAGAAATCCTATGAAGCCGTGCAAATACTTCCTCAAGAGTAGGAAGGGTAGAGCTCCCTAATATTTGGGCTCTAACTGGTTCATACTCCGATTTCAACCCCACTAAGAATCTTGTAACATCTAGTTGTTCCCTCTGCTGTTGCTGAACTTTAACATCTGGAGTGAGGGGATGATAGACATTGAGTTCATTCCTTATATTCTTC